CCCGGCATCCGACCCCGCCCAGGAACGCGCGCGCTCCTCCTCGGCTGCCTAAGGCATATAGCCATCGGCGATGCATCGCCGATTCCATGTCGATGTTTCCCCCGCGGGGCCAGTCTCCCCGATCGTTCCCCCTCAGGGTGGGGCGAGGGCGGGTGTCGAAGAAGAGGGATGCGATTAGCATCGTACACATGCGGAGTTCCGCGCGGATTCAGGGGGGTCGTCTGTCCTGGGTCCGGCCGTATCAGTCTAGCACCTGTCTGACACCCGTCTAGCACCGAATTGCCTGGGACGTGCCGTTCTCCATGCACGCTGCCGGCACTGGCTGCGAAGGGTCTGCTCCCGCAAGGAGTGCTCACTGACAGGCAGACTATAACCTGAAGCTGATACTCTCCAACCCTTAACGGGCGTTGCAACAGTTCCCGCGTCGAGGAGGGTTGCGTTCGTCAGCTCGCTGGCCAAAGTGCCCTCAGTAGCATCCTGGTCAATGGGCGTTGATTTTTGCTCCAGCATGGCGACCCCCCAGACCAGCTGAACATGAAGCCATCGGTCAGGCTTCGCCGCCCCTGCCTCGCAGTGCATGGCTTTCTGATGAGGTGTCGCGGCTGTACCCTTCGTTTCTCTCAGTCTCCCCCAAAACATACAACGCACAACGTCCAATGCTCTTGCCGCCGTGTGGCCGCCGTCGCCGCCGCCCTCTCGCCGCCCGTCGCCTGGGCCTGCGGGCCGCTCTGGCCGCCACGTGGCCGCGGCCGCCGTCGCCGCCTCGTCGCCGCCCGCCGCCTCGCATTGCATTGCGTGGTGTTGCTTTGCATTGCCATGCATTGCTTGGCACTGTTTTGCGTTGCTCTGCATTGCTTTGCATTGCTTTGCGCCATTGCACTGGAATCGCTCTTTTCTGCAATCATATTGCACTGCGTTGCATCGATTTGCACTGCTTTGCATTGCTATGCTGTGCTTTGCATATTGCTTCGCATTGCGTGGCATGCTTTGCGCTGCTTGGCATCGGTGTGCGTTCCTTTGCATTGTTTCGCGTTGCACTGCAATGATTTAGATTATTTTGCATTGCTGTGCACTGCTTTGCGTTGCATTACGTTTCGTTGCTTTGCATGTTGTTGCCTTGCCTTGCATTTCTTTGCATTGTTTTGCACCACGTAGATTGTCCCACATTGATTGCACCCCCCATATTGCACCACATTGATTTGACCACCTCGATTGCACCGCATACGTTGCAAGGAACCACTGCCTGGGGTCCCCCTGCTGGCTGGCACGTGTCTGCAGATACGGTGCTGTAAAGCCTGACCCAGTAATGTTCCTGTATCGTGGATGTTCTTCTCGTTCCCCCTCTTATTCATTACCCCCGTCCTCACTTCCTCATTTCTGATTGCGAAGGCCTGACGGCCGGTGCCGCCGACCCTTGAAGAGGACCACGACGTCGGCGACGAAGTGGGCGGAGGCGGAGGCCGTGGAAGATGAGGAGGAGGAGGCGAGGAGGAGGGGGAGGAGGAGGGGGAGGAGGAGGAGGAGGAGAAGGAGGAGGGAGCAGGAGGAGGGAGGAGGAGGCGTCCTCACTTCCTCATCTCTGATTCTTCTCCCCAAGGTGAGACCCATCGCCCCCCATCCTGGAGACCGCCTCTTCGCCCCATGAGGCAGGGGCCTTGACGCCCCCCCCCCCCACGTAGGAGAAGCTGTGGAGGGCGTCGTCGTCGTCGACGGCGACGGCTCGTGATCGCCGCCGTCCTCGTCGGCGTCGTCCTCTGTCTCATCTTCATCCTCCTCGTCTTGCCTCGCTCCTCCCCCGCTCCTCCTCCCTCATCCTCCCTCATCCTCCCTCCGCTCACTTCCATCCGACGCATCGGTTCTTCCCAGCCGTCCTGCGGTGGTGGGCACTCGCTTTGAATCCGCAGGGTCCCGCGTCTCACTCCCGCCTCCCGCTGCCCGCTCCCTCCTGCCTCTGTCCTCCGCATGCCTGTTCCGGCACACCCCTCACACGTTTTGTGGCCCCATGGGGAGCTCCACCGCAGGCCTCAGTGCTGCACCGAAGGCCTCCATGGTGTTGCATAGCGTCCCCCCGCCCATTTCGGCACACCCTTCCCGTGCTCCGTGGGCCCGCAGGGAGGTCCACCGAGGGTCCCAGTGGTATGGTGTTGCATAGCGCCCCCCACCCATTTCGGCACGCTTTTCGCGCGATTCTTGACGCTGCACGGAAATCCACCGTCGGCAAGCGGAAGGGTATTGACAAATCATGTATGGCAATGTGGCCCTCGGAAGAGTCCTGTGTAACCTCCCGCGTGCCCCTTCTTCGACCCACCCCGACTGCAACAGCAACCACAACGGCAACAACGGCAAGAACAACAACAACGGCAACAACGGCAACAACAGCAGCCGCAGCAGCACAAACACTGTTCGGGTCGCTCCCTGCGCGGGAGCGCCCCGCTGCCGGCCAAAACCGGGGCCCCCGCGGGGCCCTTCAAGAGGCCCCTCTCGCCCTGCGCGCCCCCTCGCCCCTGCGCGCAGCGCCGGCGTCGCCCACTCGGGCCCTTCTGGCTACGGTGCAGGGATGTCTGAAGCTCAGGAGAGGGAACCAAAGACACACACAGACACAATCAAATCGTCAATTTCCCCGAAAATATATGAAAATATGGGAAGCGTGGGGGGGGGGGGAGACAAAGAACCCAGAAGATATGGGAAAACATTGGGGATCCTGTTGTTTGTGTCTATTTATTTGCGTGTCCCAGGGCCCCTTCAGAAGCACTGTGGACGACGACCAATGGAGAGGAAGCATGATGATCGTTTTTTTTATTCCTCGTTTTGCCGATCGGCGCGGGCCCTCGCACCCCCCCCGCACCCCCCCCACCCCCCTCGTGGAGTAGACCTTGGCTGTTTTGTTGGCGCCTGTTTCGGGGCAGGTGGAGCCTCCCCCAGGATGGACCCAGTGCTGCAAACAGTTGCACTAAGCAGAGGTCCGGAGCAAGACCCCTCCCCTTCTGCCCAATGTCGAAACGCCAAATAAAATAAAGAAAACGCTCACTTGGAGAGGAAGCGTGTTGTCAAGTGATTCCCAGATGTCTTCAGCATGTTTCCAGCATGTCTTAGATCTGTAAGAAGCATGTTTGAAGCATTCTTAGAACATGCTTCAAGCATCGTGAACACATGTTCAATTCAATGATCGGATTGTTAGGGTGTCCATGGTCATGGCATCCAGAACTGAAGCGGGGAGCATCGACCGATTCTTACTTAGATCGGCGGCTAGCCGGGGGGGGAAGTGAGGAGGAGAAGGCCTTCTCAGCAGTCTCGGAAGTCGCCCGGCCTTTCCGAGCCGTCCCCGAAGACAGAGAAAATTTCTCAGCAGGCCAGGGGGCTTCTGAGAAGTCCCGCCGCCTTCTGAGAAGGCCTTCTCCTTCTCACTTCCCCCGCTCGCTCGCCGCCGACTAGAGGACCGCCGCCACAGTGTGCACGAGATCGCACGGTGTCAGCCGAAGGCTTCGCTCACGCCCCAGGATGCGTTGAAGGAGCCCAGGGTTGCGGCGCCTGCGTCGTCGTCGTGGAAAAATGAGGCCCGTGCGCAGATCTTCATCCGAACTTGTTTGTCTCCACCCGACTATCGTCTTGGACGGCGCGAGGCCGAAACCCATCGACGCCCAAGACCTCCGATGCCTTGATCTGTTTTTCAATGTCGGAGGGAGGAGAAGCGATACCAACACCACCAGGGGGCCCTCCTCCAGCGAGGAGGTCCACGATGCCTCCCCGAGCTGGATGCTGGGGATGTCTCGAGCGAGAGGGGGGACCACACCACCAGTGAGACTCCCTTTGCCTCCTCGCACCTCCTCGCCCTGCTGGTGTTGGTGTCGCCGTTCCTTGTTCCCACGATGCGGGGCCCCGGGATGCCCGCACCGTGCCCGAGGGCCAGCTTCTCGTCGAGAGTCTAACGCACCGCGCGCCCTGCGAGGGCCCACGGAGGCACACGCCGCGCTCTCCCCGCGGTCCACCGTAGGCCGGAGGCCCTCCGAGCCTCCCTTCCCGTCTGGGCACGCCGCCGATGCACGCCTTCATCCGTGTGGAGGACGATCAGTGGAGAGGAAGCATGTTGCCATATAATATCTAGATGTCTAAAACATGCGTTAAACATGTGTGAGGCATGTAAAGAACATGTTCGAAACAGTGTTAGAACATGCTTAACACATTTTAAACACATTTTTAATTCAATGCTAGAACTGTTAGGGTGTCCATTGTCGTGGCATCAACAACTTCATTCCGAGCTTGCACGGTCGTTTCCTCTTTCGGGCCCCGGTTCATTGCACGAGCTCGCCTCTCGCAGGTCGGCTTGCGCGGGGCTCCCCGCTTGCCCGGCGGCCTCTCGATGCGCCCAGCGGTCGAGGCCGAGCCTTGTCAAGCGATGTGGTCGCGCCCCCTTCCCCCCCTTCCCAACCTCGAGCAGGGGATCGACTACGGCATGGAGTCCCCCAACGCTGAGTTGCCCTCCGAACCCGCGCAACAAGGCACGCAGAACACTCCATGGACCTGCGGAGCGCCTGACTCATCCTCCGCAGACCTCGGGCAGATCCACTTCGCAGCCGATCCCCCCGCCGACAAGCCCTCGAGGCATCGCTGCCCGCACTCGTCCCCGACCTCCCCTCCCCTCGCCTCCGACGTCCCCGCCCGGCCTCCGAGGGGGAGGAGGGCGAGGAGGAGAAGGAGGAGGAGGAGGAGGAGGAGGAGGAGGGGGAGGAGGAGGGGGAGGAGGAGGAGGAGGAGGGGGAGGAGGAGGAGGAGGAGGAGGAGGAGGAGGAGGAGGGGGAGGGGGAGGGGGAGGACGAGGACGAGGAAGAGGAGGAGCGAGGCCCTCGCCGCTCGACCTCGGAGGCCCGGCCCCCACGCGCGCGTGCGCGCCCCCCCGCCCGCCCCTTCCGCGCGCCCAGGCCGGTCTCAGCGCCGGCGCCGGCAGCCGCACGCTGCCGCCGTACTCGCCCTGCATCAGCGCCGTCAGCGCCGTCAGCGCCGAGGACGGCGGCGGCGACGACGGCGGCGGCGGCGACGGCGAGGACGACGACGACGACGACGACGGCGGCGACGAACTCGACGACGGCGACGACGACGAACTCGACGACGACGACCTCGACAGCCGCGACGGAACACAGATCTGGGCCCCCCCCCAGAGCCCCGAGAGTGGCGAATGCAGCCAAGACTTATGATGTTCCTACCTACTTTAGCCTTGATCGCCAGAAAGAATTTCGAGCACCAGCCAAAATACCGAAACTCCAGTGTTTTCACGTGCTGGGCCCTGGGAGACACTCGTCCGACACTATTTCGACACTCTTTCGACACTCTTTCGACACTCTTTCGACACTTTTATGGATGCTCGAACGGTGCGCTCCTCCAGCGCTCCTCGTGCGCCCAGGCGCGCCTGGGGCCAGGGAAGGGGCTTCCTTGCCTCCTTGGCGCTCCTTTATTCTGGTCAGAGCTCGACTGTAGTTAGCTTGGATCCTCCATCGCCGACCCTCGGACCTCGAACCTCGATGGATCCATCGATTGACGACGAGCCCCGCGGCGCACGGGAGAATGGAGAGAGAGAGAGGAGCAAGGAGAGAGGAGGGCGCTGAGAGGAGGATGGAGAGAGGAGGAGGAGGAGGAGGAGGAGGAGGAGGAGGAGGAGGAGGAGGAGGAGGACGAGGTCCAGAGTACACCCTGGATGCATCAACGACGCAGCAGCTCCCAAGCAAAATAACATGTTATAGTTTAGCCAACCTGGGCCCCAAACAGTGCGTTTCTAACAGCATGTGTGCCGCAACTTGTGTGGAGCAACCTCTTTGCGGTGCAATGTATACGGTGCAATCTATGTTGTGCAATATGTGATGTGCAATGTCTGAGGTGCAACCGATGTGCTGCAATATTTTTGTAGCACAATGGAATATTCAATCTACGTGGTGCAATCTGGTTTGTGAAGTCTGTGTTGTGCAGCGTTGTGTAATTTATGAGATGCAGCCTATGTGGTGCCCCTATCAAGGTCCTCTTTGGGGGGGGCGGTTCATGGAGCCCTCCTGTGGCGTTTTGGGAACCTCTTGGGCAGTCTTGTTGCCACCTTGGGCTTCTTGGAGTCTTCCTGGGCTGCCGCGGAGGCCTCCTGGACTCTTCTGTTCTCTCCTCGGGACGCTCTTGGCCCGTCGCGGGACCCTCTGCTCTCTTGAGAAGTCACGCGGCCGACCCCCGAAAGCGCCGAAAAACGCTCAGAAGTTCGGGTTGTGGGCCAGGTCCCGAATGGACTTGAGGACGCTCCATTTCGTGCGTCGAAGCACGGCGGCGGAAAACCCTAATCCTCCACCCGTCGCTATGTAAGCAGCAGCAAAGCATGTGATATCGCGTGGTGTACGGCAATACTATTACACTCGTTGCTGGTGTTTTCTAAGTTTGCGCGCGTGGTTCGCTGATTACGCGTTGTCGCCATGCTGAGAGAGTGAGGACGCGCGATTTGCGGATGCAAGGATTAGTGCAGTTGTCCTAAGGAAAAAGTGAAACACGGGGGTGAATGGGAGTTGCCAGAATCGCGCACACGGTTTACGTTGCATTGTTCGGGCTGTGTCGTTCGCATCGACGTGGTGTTTTGCCGCGGATTCGGCAGGGCGCCAGGCGCGGCAACGGCAGCCTTCCCCTGCGGCGCAGCATATGTGCCTGCCCCTTAGACGCTGGCGAGGCCGCCCTCGAGAGCTAATACAACGCCCTCGACTTCCTCCCTCCCGGGCCTGCTGGCCCGGTCGAGGTCGAGGTCCTCGCTTCCGGGGCGCCCCCGGCCGAAGGTGAGGTGATCGGCGTCGGTCGCCTTCCCTCCCGGGGCGCCCCTAGGTCGAGGTCGAGGTGGGCATCCGCAGTCCCAGGGCGCTCTCCGGGAACGAGCGTGTGGCCCTGGCTCCGGTGGAAGCGGCTCCTCACGCGGGCCCGAGGCCCAGGCCTCCGGCCTCAAGGCCAGCATCGAGGCGACGCTGGCGCGGCTCTGCTCCACCCTCCGCGGGGGAGCCGGGCCCTGTGCCACGGCCGAGCCGTTGGGGCGGGTTTCCCTCCCTCTCTGGCCGCCCCCGGTGGAGGCGAAGGTTATTTGCAGCACTGCTGGGCCGGTGGAGGTTCTTCCCAGGCCAGCCAACCGTGGTGGAGGTGGAGGCGGCGGGAGCGGCGTTGGCGGCGGCGCGCGCGCGCGCCACCTCGCCTTGGCGGGCGCGCTGGCCCCGTCATCCGGTTGCCGCGCAGCGGAGGAGGAATTGGCTGCCTTCGCCCACGTCCCCATCGAGGGGAAGCGCCGGGCGCTGCAGCGCCGGCTCGCGCCGCCATCGACGGCCTCCCCGACGCAGAGCTCGCGGAGCTGGCGAAGCAGACGGTGGCCGGCATTAGCGCCACCGCCACGAGGGGGCGGCCGCGGGCAGGGCGGCCTTTGGCCTGCCACGCGCTGCGCGGGGCGCTCGGCGGGCGGGCTGCACCCTCTCCCCCTCTGTCCCCCTCCCCCCCCCTCCCCGCGCGCTGTTTCTCTGTCTACTGCCACAGGGCTCCGAACCCAGACCCCCTCGAGTTATGAAAAAATCACGACGGGAGGTTTTTCGTTGTTTTTTGCCTCTGGGGGCCCTTACCGGCCCTCGGGACCGTCAAAAAACGACTCAGGACGAAGAACCGGTCCCAGGGAAAGGGTCCAGACCGCTGGGGGTCGACGTCATGAAAAATTCATGACGTCGGGGGTCTGGGAACGTCGGTGACAAAAAAAGTGTCGGTCGCACTGGCATGTGCTAAGTACCGCGGCCGCTGGTAGTAGCTGGTCGTGTCGCGGCAATGCCGATGGTCAACTCTGCTCAGACCCGTGACGTAATGAATTTTTCATGACGTCGACCCCCAGCTGTCTGGACCCATCCCCCGGGACCGGTTTTTCGTCCTGAATCGTTTTTTGACGGTCCCGAGGGCCGGCAAGGGCGCCCAGAGGCCAAAAACAATAAAAAACCTCCCGTCGTGATTTTTTCATAACTCGAGGAGGTCTGGGTGTCGCATGGTGCCTATTGTAATCGCCTTGGTGCCACCGAGGCGCCGTTTCTTTCACCGGCTGCTGCGGTTTCTTGACGCCCTCTTGTGTCGAACCGTACACGCTTTGACGGTTTTCTGCAGTTGTTTCTTCGACTCTCTGACGGTTCTGGGGCGTGCCATTGGGTTCTCTCTGCGGCAGCATGGGGGGGCGCGTCGGAAGCAGGCTTACAGTTTGTTGGAACTTCCTTGTGTCCAACAATACCCCCCTCCCATTGTCCCGATGCTCCTTCGCATCATGATATGTTTTCCTGTTCTCGCCATCGTACGCGTCTTATTTGCATCGCGCCGCTCATCTCCGCTGTTCCCCCTCCTCCTACTCGTTCGCGGTCGCGCGGATCTTTTCCGCGCGTCGATTGCTTTGCGCTGGAGTCGCCCCTTTTCTACGTAGGCATCCGCCTCGCGTTCAGTTGGTCGCGCCGCGGCATTCCCATCCAAACAGTTCGGGGCGCTGCCGAGACATTGCGCCGCGCGGAACAAGGAACTGACTTTGGTGGAAATCGACAGACAAGACGGGGCTGTAGTTTGGGATTTCGGTTCCAGCGACGACGAGAGCGGGCCATTCAAATTCGGCCGGCGGAGTGCGCTCGGCATCGAGATTTGGGCGGAGGTAAAAGCCAGCCAGAAAGAACTGCGTGGCCAACGCGACGCGTGCTCACAACGATACCGTTGCCAATAATGGGGACATTACCGGATGCCCAGCAGGCCGCGTTTTGCAGCCGCCGGGCATCGACGCCGACGCTGCGAGTCGCCAGATGGCAAGCACCGATCCAGAACGCTTGGGCCCTACATCCCTTGAGGGCGTGAAGGCGTCACCGCGACACCGGCGAGATCGTTGGCCCCTTCACTTTCGCCGTCGTCGTCGTCCGTCACATTCCCCCACTGTCGAAGCCACTCGTTGCGCGCGGATTGGGCGCGCCGCCGATTTTGTCGACGCCTCCCAACAAGACGTGTTCATGCGTTCTCCCCGACCACATGTGTTCATGCATAGTGTAAGCCAAGGCGCGCGCGCGCCCGCGTGCGGATGCGTGGTGACGCGTGCCCATTCTCGGCGATGTAAATATGTTTTACGAATGCATGTATTCATTTGGCTGTATCATGGGAGTGCACGTGCCATATGATTACGTGGCGATGTGATGCATTGATGTTTGCCGGCGACGGGCCATGGGGAGGGCAGACGGGGGCGGTCGGCGTTCGAGTGGCATGATGTCTTGAGGCGCGACAACCGTCAATCCGTCAACAGTCACCAGGCTCACCTTGGAACGCCACGATATACATATAACTATATATATGCACATATACATATATTTACAGATTCACTGTTAGCATCAGCGGTGCGCATTAATTCATATCGCGCGGACTGGCCTTGAACGGTCAGCACGTTTCGCGACGACTGTTTTGAAGACCAACGATGACGACGCGGCCAGCGCAAGTTTGTCCACCCAGTCATTACCCGCCGAAGGCATTTAGAAACTCCCGACAAGGTGGGATTATTTTGTTCTCGGCGGCCGTATTCGCGGATTGGCGCTCCACCAATAGAGGGGGGCGAATTGGTTTCTTCCGCTGCGCCTGCCAGCAGCGACGACTGCGATGGCCGCCGCGATTGCAGCGAGTGCTAGTTGGCCACTATGCCTCAGGAGCGCCCCCGTGGAAAATCCGGGCCCTCTGCAGTCTACATCTTCAGCTTCGTCGTCGGCGACGCGGGCGCCGACGACGAAACTGTGAATGTAGGCGGTAGATGCAGTGGCGCGCGTTTCCACTCCCCCGCGGGCAAGGATACGTCATGCGACTGGTTGCGAGAACGGGCTTCAGCCACGAACGCGCTCTTCAATGCTGCAATCTCTTCGCGCGCGCGCCGCTGACTGCGGGGGCCGGCCTCGGCCGCGGACGCGATCTATACTGCAATCTATTCAAAAGGCGCCCAGAGCCCTTCCGTCGCGCAGGGCAACCGGGG